CAATGCGGAGCCGAAACGTTTGGGTGACAATGATTATTGTTTAAATATATGTAATTTTAGCACTAATTGCGTGCAAGGCTCACTTGCCCTTCTTTGGATACTTCTTAATTTGTAATTATATGAATCAGTAACAATTGACAATTAAATTCATAATGCTTTTATTTATGAAAATATTATTGAATCTTCTCTTTAATTATATTTTCTGAAAATGAGATAGGCATGCCCATATCCAGATATTAGTTGAGAAAAAGAGAAACAGAAAGATTGTGTGAATATTAACAAGCCGGAATTGCAGGAATGATGGAACACCCCGCATATATTACGCTCTAAAACTATGAGTATACATGTAGTCTGTGTATATAAAAACATCCATAAATGAGAGTAGCGAGAGTTCACGCTAAAAATCGTACGTTCGGTATTGTTGTAATATGTACCTACGCATTCGCACGTAGTCGATATTAGCGATCGTTAGCGAACTGAATGTAAAAAAAGAGATTCGAAGAGAAGAGGAGGGACAAGCTCAAGCAAGCGGCGCAACAAGGGGAGAGACACATACCTTCGGTATACACAATTGTCAATTAGATTCAGACTGACTGCAGGGACTTGAACACGCATAAACAGTTCGATGTTCTTCGATGTTTAGCTAGATAAAGTTGTCGTCGTCGTCGTCGTCGTCGTCGTCGTCCTCGTTAATGAGCACGTTATTGAGAACACGAGTCGACGCATTTAACTCGGGCCAGTGGCGATAAATGTGAAGCGATTAACGGCTAACGGGACCCATTTGACATAATGAAAAAAAAATATTCTAATATATATACAGATATATATATATATATATATATATATATATTATCAGTCAGAGAGAGAGAAAGGGGGTAGGATGTCAGAGTTTGTTTGAGGTAAGGTTGTTGGTCTTATAAAAAACATGGGAGTCAGCGCACAAGCCACTTCGGTCTCGCTACGGAACCACACAATTAACACTGTGTACGCTACGTTATTGATGTGCAATCTATTCTACAATTATGCAGCTATCTGTAAACGGAAGAAATGTCCGTGTACCTCGCCGCGAAATTCTGAATGTTTTCGACCGATGTTTTTGGGGAAAAATTTTTGATTGCGTTTGCTTTGCGCTGTCGTGTAAGCAGCTATCTCGCGAAAAGTTAATTAAAGTTAACTGAGATCTAACTGATCCGCTATCTCTTTCGCTTTCTCTCTCTCTCGCTCTCTCTTTTTCTCTGTCTTCAGGAAGAGGCAGTGCATCGGTTTGAACATCAGTTAACTTTGACTAATGTTTAGGGACACGATCCCCCCCCTCCCCCGTTGCATAAATGTTTGATCGGCTGTTAATGTAGACAGGTATCCGTAGAGTTGTTCTTATGATCAAGAAGCTGTTTGGTTCAGTACGAAAATCTGGATAATTGATGTGACGTTCGTAGCGATTTCTGTGTTGAAGAAAAAAAAAAAATATATCAATTCTAGTGAACAACTAGCTAGCACAGCGAAATTCTGTTGTAACCAGAGATATAGGCAGAGCAGAAGTTTTATTGAACTCAATGGCAAGATGATGTTCCAATATGCGAGCATTTCGATGTAAGAAAATTTGCAGTACAACAATATCAGCTCAGAGATTCGACGCGGGACGTTGTAACGAGATCTCACTGTATGTTATGAAAGAGCGATGTGCTCTCGGCGATTAGCAGCTACTAAAAGTATATCCAGTTTGCAAAACAAAGGGTATCGGACGGTGTTGTAAATTCATGCGATATATCCGCTGGAATGGAAACTATTGCGCCAATTGTACATATGTATTTGAATCTGATAGCATGTCTCCTATAGACAACAATAGTAATCCAAATAATTTGCGTCGGATTGTAAAAAGAAAAAGTCCAGACATTCCTTTCATCTGTCAATTGTTCCAGCAGAATGTGTAAAAAAGACGGGAAAAAAAACGCGTTCAAGACACTATCCATTACAAATGCTGGCGAAACTGAGAAAGCGGATGTATCTGGCACAAGGCAGTCTAGACTTCTTTGGTATGTTTCATTTAAATGAATTAAGCGCAGAAACAATAGCGATCTTTTTTCTTTGTATTTCTATGGCGCCGAGAAAGTTCGCATAGAACCAGATTCAGGATAGATATTTATGATATGAAAAGAGACAAAAAAAAAGAAAAATGAAAAATACGCAACATGTCTGATTATGTCAACCCTTTTATTTCCCACTTCCAACAGCCGAAAGTCTTCCTTACTCATCTTTAAGACTAGATATTTGCTCTTATAGACAATTAATATTATTCTTAATAATCTTAATGCTAATTCAATATTTTAAATCAATAAAATTTTATATAATAAAAATAATAGTACCTTATACATATATATAAAAATAGACATTTGAATGATATACATATAGAAAAAATGTTCAATATTAATAAATAGTAAATATTAATATTTTATATATATATATATACACATCATTTCATTATTAATTATATAATATTAATTTCATAAATTATATTAAATCTTAGGTAAACAGATAAAAAATTATTTATAATTCATATTACATTCTTTAGTTTATTTAAAAATATCTTAGCACAATAGTCTTATGCAGTTTAGTTAAAGACCATTCATAATGGGATTAAAATAATACTTTCAATATCCACTATACGACAGCAACAATAACAATAGCAATAAAAAGTATAAGTATCACTATCCAATAACCACATGTGCGATCTTTGGAATGAATATTACGAACCTGTTGAGTCTTGTTGATCAAAGATTCATCAGTCCTATCCATGTGATCAGCGAGATCATCAATTATTTCTATATGACAATATGGTGAAATTAAGAAAAAATTATTTTCACATTTAACTATTCCAATATAAAAGTTTTTATACTGCTCACCGTTTTGGTGATCAACCTCATTGCTAATTGTTTGTCCAATTTCTTTTTGGCGAGCTATCACCTTACACAACTCCTCTAAGCCTTTGTCTTGTTCTACAAGATATTAGAACAATGCAAACTACGTGCAGTGTATTTAATAATATTTTCTCTATAAACTATTATTACCTATCAATACTCGATCTTGATGACTCATAAGATCATTAACAGATACTTGTACATCTAACGGTTTGTCATCATCGTCGTCAGCAGCCCAAGAAGTTGTGCCACCGTCGGCGAAAGCCGACGATGTACCTGCCCTTAATAAGCTAGTGCGCGACGATACATAATCATTTGTTCGTGGCTCGTACAATTTTTGTAACTGAATGTCTTTGCTTTGCAACTGTTCCACTTGCCTCGTCCTACGCTCGGCTTCCTCAAACGTTCTGTCATACAGATTATACATTAAGAAACTTATCATTTTCAGAATTTCAAAGTTATGCTGAACTTATGCTAAAATATTAATACACAAATAAAAGAGTACATTGTTTTTAATTTAGACGCTTCTTCCACTTTGCATTTCAATTGCTGGACCTCCCGCGTGTACTGCTTCATACGCAATCTTATATTAGCTGACAAACTGGCGTGAACTTTTGACGTCTTCGGTTCTCCGTCACGCATAGTGAGCTGTTCCATGATCTCACGGAACAGCTTCTCGCATGCGTCATATTCCGTGAGCCTAATCACACACAGTCGAATTTTAATCAGATTTTTATGTACAATTAGATTGAAGTAATGAATAGTAATTAATTCAAGTAAAAAGATAATGTCATTGCTTGAAATAGCCTATATCTAATAGATTTTACTGGATAGGTGAAAAAAATTTTATAAAATACATTTTATAAATTTACCAAGGATCGATTCCTTCGATGTTGATGAGTGCCATTTTTCGTGTTCGCTGACGTTAAAATTATATTATTCCGAAAAATACAATGACAGCACAAATGTGTACTTTAACATTGTTCGTTACGGAGAGCATTAGTTTGTAAATAATTGAGAAACGTACAACCGCATCATTTTCAGATAATCATAATTAGTTGAAGTAGCGATGACAACTTTTACCTTATGTGACAATAACACAACACAGTTTTACAAAACAAAAAAATGAGGCGACTTGTGATTGCTTTGACATGCAGATAACCTCTAAATCATGACTACACCATAGAATATGGAATACACTATGGAATACACTAATACAGTATATACAGTCACCACAGTATAACCACAGTATAGAGAGCCTCTAATCAGAGTGGCGCCATACAGCTGCCACTTTTGATTGGTCCGCCATTTTCTTGCCATTCCCGCAGTTTTTCAAACGAATTATTTCCTAAATTTTATATTTATATTTAAAAATGCTTCGAAAAATTGCAACGAATGAAAAAATAATAACAAATAA